TGATGGCTCGGCGGTTGAGCAAATATGGATCGCAATTGCTACTGTCGATGCAACACTCTACCTATGAGTTGTGTATATTCCCCCTGATCGAGTAAACGATGAATCTTTGATCGAAAAGCATATCGATTCGCTTAACTGGGTGGTTTCGCAGTTAGGACCAAGAGTTGTCATCCTAGGCGATTTCAACTTGAGCTCGATCTCTTGGCAGCGTAGTCCACATGGTTCCCTGTATCCGATTACATCACGATCCTCGATTAGCCTGGCATCACGGAAGCTGCTTGATGCGTATAGCACCGCTGGACTCAGACAAATGAGTGGAATTGCAAATGAAAACAATCGTACGCTTGATCTACGCTTCGTCAGTGAGGAACTTTGCGAGCACAGCACAGTTATGCATGCTCCATCACCGCTCGTTAAAATCTGCAGGCATCATCCTCCTGTACTGATGGAATTCAAGATAAGTCCACTGCAACGCTTCCAAGATACCTCTGAAAGCATCGTCTATGATTTCAGAAAGGCTGACATCAACAGCATGAACGAGTTCCTCGCACATGTCGATTGGGACGAGGTGCTTCAAAATTGTGATGCCAACCTCGCTGCGTCGACCATATCTGATATCCTGTGGTATGCCATCGATCAGTTCGTTCCCGTGAAGTCTAGACACGAGCCGGCTAAGCCAGCCTGGTCAAATGCTGACCTCAAGCATCTTAAGACTGTGAAGCGGGCAGCTCTCAGACGACATAGCAAGTATCGCACGGACTCCACGAGAACGAGATATATGGCGGCGAACACTGAATACAACCAACTTAATAATCGTTTGTACAACGCATATCAGGACCATCTGCAAAGGCGCTTCAAGACAAATCCCAGAAGTTTTTGGCGTTACGTCAATGACCAACGGATGGAATCCGGACTGCCCTCTACGATGACCTACGGATTGTTCGAAGCTGATTCCACCACTGACATCGCCGACCTGTTCCGTTCTCAATTCAGCAATGTTTTCACTAATGAACACATCGACCCGCAGGATGTAGCCGTCGCCACCAGAAATGTTCCTCGATTTTCTGCCTCTGGACTACAGTTCGTGATCTCGAACGATATGGTTGTATCAGCCGGAAAGGATTTAAAATCCTCCACGGGATGTGGTGCGGATGGGATTTCATCGCTTGTGCTCAAATGCTGCGCGGATACACTTGCAACACCACTAGCAAGAGTATTCAACCTATCTTTGGCTACTGGTGTATTCCCAAACTGCTGGAAGCAATCGTATGTTTTCCCAGTTTTCAAGAAAGGCTGCAAGCGGATTGTTTCGAACTATCGGGGCATAGCTGCGTTGAGCGCCACTTCTAAGCTGTTTGAGGTGATCGTTCTGCATAAGTTGGTTCAGAACTAAGCACACTACATTTTGGTTGATTAGCACGGATTTATGCCTAACCGTTCGACGACAACTAATTTGACTTGTTTCACTTCGTTCGCGATCCGCCAAATAAAAAATGGTCAACAAGTAGACGCTATTTACACAGACTTATTCGCGGCGTTTGATAAAATGAATCATCAAATCGCAGTTGCTAAATTCGACAAGCTGGGAATGAACAGTAACTTGCTTTCCTGGCTTCGATCCTACCTAACCGGTCGAAGTATGACCGATACCACGTTTCGCCCTCCTTTCCGGTTTGGTCCGGTGTTCCCCAAGGAAGTCACTTGGGGCCGTTTCTATTCCTGCTGTATATGAACGATGTCAATTTCACCTTGAAATGCCTAAAACTCCCGTATGCCGATGACTACATGATTAAGCAACCACAAGACGCGTTTTTTCTGCAAACAACAACTGGAAGCCTTCGCTGAATGGTGCCATATTAATCGAATGTCGCTGAACGTCTCCAAATGTTCGGTTATTTAATTTGGCCGCAAGCAATCACTGTTCCATTTTAGCTATGCTTTGGGAGGCGTGAATCAACGTGATTCGACAGTCAAGGACCTGGGAATTCTGGTTGATACAAAATTAACCTTCAAGGATCACGTCGCGTACGTTGTGTCTAAAGCCTCATCGCAACTAGGATTTTTATTTCGCTTTGCAAAAAAGTTCAAGGACGTTTACTGCCTAAAAGCTTTATACTGCTCAATTGTGCGCCCTATCTTGGAGTATTCGTCTATCGTCTGGTCTCCTTATTACCAGAATGAAACTCAACGCATCGAAGCTGTTCAGCGAAAATTCGTCCGGTTCGCTCTACGTCATCTTAGGTGGAGAGATCCATTCAACATGCCCAGTTATGAAAGCCGTTGTCTTCTTATAAATCTGGAATTACTAGAAGCAAGACGCAACGTGGCAAAAGCGTGCTTTGTTGGGGATCTTCTGCAAGGCAACATTGACAGTCCTACGCTTCTTAGTCTCTTGGACATCAACACACGTCGTCGCAATCTTCGGTCGCACTCGTTTATCACCATCCCTCCGGCAAGAACTAATTATGGCTTACACGAACCTTTGCGAAGCATGTCCCGTGTATTCAACCGGTGTTATTATGTGTACGATTTCAACGTGTCACGAGAAACAAATAAACGTAGTTTTAAACGAGTTTTATGTTTAGTCGTAGAACAAGTGTCATTGGGGTAAACAATTTACCTGTTGACTGATAAACAATAAACAATAAATGTCCCAGGAAAAGTTTAGATATTTTCAAGATTATTTTAGAGGAATATAGAAAAGAAATATGGTGAAATTCTAGGACGATTTGAATTGAATTAAAAAAAGGCGAAGATATCCTGTAAAGAGTTCCAAGTAAATTCAGACTAAAAAAATCATGATCTGGGACGCAGGAAAAATATAAATCGTTGCAAGATCTTGAGACTTTAAAAATTAAGCTATCCGACTTTCATTTTTGTAATACGATAAAACTATTCTTTTGCATAATGGTCATGCGAATAGTGGAGTTACCCGTAGTTTCGGTAAACTGTGTATGAGTTCCACGATGTTAGGCTTTGATTCCCACTTCAGCCCGGTGAATTTTGCTTCAAAATAAAATTGCCTACTGGTCTGCTGGGTGTTGTGTGTACTGTCTGTGTTGTATGATGTCAAGAGTTAAACTGTAAATCTGATCAACTTCAGAGCAATATTAGAATTATTTAAAACTAATAAAATCTTCAAATTCTGTTACTGCATCAACTAGTAAGGACTACATCGACTATTAGTTCAAAAAATCCATCCCATAAATTTTCCTTGATTCTTTGCTTCTCACACCGTGTCAATACTTTTCAACTTTTGGATGATTTTAGCAATGCTAACAAGCTATTTGCTGTAATTAATTTATTTAAAACTGTAATTAATAACCATTCTAGTACTTTAAATAAATTCCAGATGATCATACTGATCTATTTTACGGGAGATTGGCACATCACTTTGATTACAATAGCATTATGTTAATAAGAGGATTTTTTGGAGCATTCCAAATTTTTCCAGATTTTATATTTTACCTGGTCCAGATTTTTTTCTGAAAATGACCTGGCAACGCTGCTGATGTCAGTGATGGCAGTCAACTGCGGAACAGAGTGTTACAGAAAATAAATAAAATAAAAAAAAAACCACTTCGGTGACATTCACGATAGTTTAGCTATCTCAATTAAATGCTACGTTGAAGCTTCCATAAATTAATGTTCGTCCTCTCTTATTGTTAATGTGAACCATTAAAACTGTCAATTGTACTCCTCGGTCGATGACTAATGGATCCATCATCGTTAAAGGCGCAAGATTCGAAACAGGCGGTCGATTGGCATTTTGCTTTTTGCAAAAATAATATAAACAACATCGGCACACCACCCAGACCGAATGCAAATAACAACAATTTTAACGTCGAAATTTAAGTGAGTCCTCCCAGGTTTACAAGTACGTCCACACATATGGGATGGTTGTATGAGTGCGCTGAAATTAATTAACAGTCTAACCACCGCACGTGCCAAATGTTGACCAAATTTTCTCTCCCATTTCGCGACTCACCGAAAAACATGTAAAACAACCAATAGGAAGGGGTAGTCATCGATGCCGCCGAAAAAACAAAAAATTAACTTCATCCATCCGGTATCGCTGCGTGGTGAAAGTGAGATCGTTGCACCGGCGCGGCCGCCAGTTGAGTGACGACGTCGACTACGCTCACATGGATTCGGGAAATTTGCCCGTCAAGTTGTAAACAAATTTGCTCGTTCTCTATTGAGGAATCAGTATAAACATACAAGCGATCGACATCGACGACGACGGCGACGACGGCGACGGTGCGTGCCATTTGATCTTGGCTGCCGTACGTCGACGAAGTAAGGCTAAAAATAACCAGATTTTCCCGAACGACGCGACGTCGTCGCTCGGTGGTGCTGGTGTCTAACAAGGCGAGACGACCTTGCAGCAGCCAGCGAGCGGTTTGAAATTGATGAGCAGCTGTTGTTGGAGTCAAATTACCACCGATCTATGATACCTACTGATGTTTGAGTTTGAGGAAACCGTTAAACGTGCAGCCCTCTCGGCAAAACCAACGAAACCGAGTGTAAAGTTAATATTAAACTTTCAGTAACCATTAAAAGTTGAATTGGGGGAGGGGGGGAAACGAATTATTCGTCGATGAAATACTCCGGTCAGATCCAGCGTAGAATTTCCATTTGCAAAAATATTTGAGTTTGATTATCCGCCGTCGCCATTCGCCCCCAAACGTCAGCCATTTGTCGTCGGTGACGTTTGATCAATTATTCATCACAATGATGATTGTAACCGCAAGTATGATTGTGATTTTTTTTCCTACCCCCGCTGACACGTGGACAATCGGCCGATGACCGACCGAAGCGACGCCGTCCTGAATAATTAAGCGGAATTATTATTACTCTCGATGTTTGACTGCAAATTTCCACTCACATCCCTTCCTTTCCTGTAGTGCCTTTGTACATTCCAGATGTCCCATTCTTTTTTTTTTTTCTGCCGATGCGGACAATATTTTAATTTTTGCTTTTTTTCTCGATTTCCACAGCGCTAACGGTTCGTTTCCTGACAAAACGGTACATTGGCGAGTATGATCATCAAGCAGGTGAGTGGCCTGTTCCGGTGACTTTTTTTTCACTTGCTTTGTCAATTTCATCATTTTTTTTTTTATTTTTTGTTTTTTTTTTCTTTGGTTGACAGAAAATAGACACAAATATGAAATCATGGTCGATGGCGAAGCGGTGCTGTGTGAAATTTGGGATACCTGTCCGAAGGTACGTAATCATGGTGACAAATAGCTGACAAATTTTTGTTTGTTCGATGTAACTCTTGGTTGGACTAGTTTCGTCAGTTTTCTACTGTGTTACTCAATGTGTCCTTGTGTAACATGAAAATAAGTCAACATTTCTGGATCTTGGGGAGGCAACCTTTAACCCTTTTCGTCACTTTTCATCCGATTTTGATGTCCATCCATGTTTTTGAACTCTAAAGTTTCATTCACTTGAAACATTTTCTTAACCTTATCCTAATATTTATCTCATTCAACTTCAATACCATAACCGTACGCTCGCACCTTACGCTTAACTCCACTCATTAGGTTCTGTACAATTTCTGGCTGCAGCTTCTTCTGTACGGAAACCCAATTTTGCTTCAGTAGTGCCTGCTTCATAATAGCCCAGCTCCGGTGCGTTGGGGGGGTCATGTCCTTCCTTGGGGACGAAAGCCACCCCGTTGGCAATTTTTGAATAAGAAAAAGTTGGAGGGTGGTGTACAAGACACAACCGCATTGTTGACGTAGGACTACGAATTTTTTTAATGTTCGGACGTTTTCGAAGATGTCGCGCAGCAGGAGAATGCATACGATGAGGGTTTCTCAGTTAATGAAAGTGAAACGGAAAAAAAAGTTTAACCCTCCGATAAGATAGAACATAATTTATTTCCCTAACAAATTATTTGATTTTTGAATCATCTTGATGTATTTAGTGACAAATTGAATGGGTGAATCATGGGTTACTCTATATAAATTCTATTCTAACTCTTTACTTAAATGAACTTGGTATAATAAATTTCGTTTATTTATCGATCCGATAATTTCATAATACAGTTACATACAGTTTAAGTTTTTCATTAAATCTAACATTTAATCAATTCATTCCGACTTATATTTATGTTTACTTTTAAAATTCACAAATGAAAAAACAACAGTATCCTAATTTATAATAATCTATCACCTATTTAATTATCTATAATTCACTCTTATCCACTGCACACATCCTCTTTTAAATTCAGGTACTGTTCTAGCTGTTTTAACAACTCCTGGAAGGGAGTTAAACATTTTAATTCCTTTATAATAAATTGACCTTTGCGTCGATGTCATCGAGAATGGAACTACTCTTAAGTCATTAATCCGTCTTGTTCGATGCTCGTGAATATCATTTCCACTAACTAAAATTGACCTCAAATATTCTGGTAAAAGATCTTGTGTCATTTTATATATAATTGTTAACACATTGAAAACTATTCGTTCTTTAACCGATAACCACTGCAGTGTATCTAACATCATTCTGATTGGTGTATACTTGTTGCATTGAAGAATAAATCTCATTTGTCTGTTTTGCAACCTTTGCAACCGTTTTATCTGCGTTTCACTTGCCAGAAACAGAATCGATGAGCAATAATCTATATGGGGAGCAATTAACGTTTTATACAAGAAAATTTTACTCCAAAACGGAAGCTTTCCTCTCAGTCTTGATAAAATTCCATGTTTTTTAGCAATTTTACTAATCACATAATCGATATGCACCTTAAAATTTAGTTAATCATCAATTTTCACTCCTAAATATTTAAACTCCTGTACTCTTTCTATCAATTCTTCTTCTATATCAACATTAAACTCATTAAGATTCAGATTTCTTTTATTAGATATAATCATCATTTTAGTTTTTTGAACATTTAATTTTAACTTTTTGATCCTCAACCATTTAGTAATTTGAACGATTCCCTCTCTTATTTTTTGTAAGGCTTCTTTGGGATCCTTAGACCCAAAGAATATAACTGTATCATCCGCAAAAAGATTCAGCTCACATGATCCTATCGCTGCCTTTACATCGTTGATGTACATTATGAATAATAGTGGTCCCAACACACTTCCTTGCGGTACTCCAAGTGGAACTGTCAGGGGTGATGACACCTTCTCACCATATTTACATACTTGTGTTCTATCGTTTAAATAGGATTCAAACCATTTGAGGACATTTCCTCCCAATCCATACTTTTTTAGTGTTTTCAACATCATAGGACGTGAAATAGTTTCAAACGCACGTTTTAAATCCAAGAATATTACTACTATAGTTTTACGAGCCTCTAGCATACGTTTCCATTTATATAGAAGTAAGTTTAACGCTGATTCGCATGAATGATTTTGTCGAAAACCTGATTGTTCTGCAATTAAGATTTCATTTGAATTCAGATATGCAGTGACTTGTTCTCGAACTATACTTTCCAATACTTTTTCGTAAACTGGTAACATATTTATGGGTCTGAATTCCTCAGCCTTAACTGTACCACTAATCTTCTGTATCGGAATAACAACTGATTGCTTCCAGCTTCGCGGAAACTCTCCAGTTTCGAGAGATTCATTTACTACTCCTAATAGGTACTCACCTAACATATCCCAGGAATCTTTTAACACTTGTAGGTTTACATTATTGAGACCAGAGGAATTATTCAAATTATTAACTACCTTCTTGAGGTTTTCCATCGTCACTGGTTCGAAAATATTCCACCTCTCATTTGAGTCTTCATTTAGTGCCGTATCATCATGAACATTTTCAATACTGTCGTGAATTTCTCGTACACTATCTACAAAGTATCCATTGAATTTTTCTGATATTTCACTTTCATCTTCAATGTCAACTCCATCAAACTTGACACATTTACTATTACGATTTTTACTATTCCATAACGTTTTAAGCACTTTCCAGAGGGAACGACTATCGTTTTTATTCTCTTCAATTTTACGTTGGGTGTATAAGGCCTTCGCCCTCCTCACAGAATGAGAATACTCATTTCGTAAGACCCTATATCGTTCCCAATCTTGCTCTTCCCAACTTCCACTAGCCGTCATATATGCTTCATCTCGTTCATTTTTTAGAAGCTTTAGGTCAACTGTATACCATCTCTTGTGAGAAGTGCATTTTATTGATTTCACCACAACAAGCTGATTTACACAACGTTATAGAACTGTTCCAAGCACTTCTGCTTTCTCATGTAGTTCTCTTTCACTCGTCTCTGGTAAATTAGATCTAAGCAAAGCCTGCAACGCTTCCTTTGAATATTTTCTCCAACATTTAATTGTTATACCTGTGTCTTCATTTCGCACATCTTGTTCTTCTTTACTGATGATCTGAAGAGTTTCATGATCTGATATCTTGTAATCTTTTAGCACTGACACATCTGTCACAGAACTATTGCTTAACACTAAATCAATCATTGTCTCAGAATACGCTGTACATCTTGTACTTTCAGTCACTACTTGCTTGAGACCAAATCCATGCATTACACTGCGTAACCGTTCACTATCTTTACAATTTAGCCAATTTATATTGAAATCACCAACAATAAAATTGTCCACATTCTATTCAACCGCGCTTTCAAGCCAAGTGTTCTCCAGAAACTCAAGGAAATTGGAATCACTGTCATTCGGGGAATGATACACTAAGCCATACATTCCTCTTTTAAAACCATTTTCAACATTTAAAGCGAGAAACCAATTACGCTCGAAACAAATGTTGCTTACAACCCGGAAATGTATTGAATCATGACAATACATGATAACTCCTCCTGTATGCCTCGAGTCAGAATAACACACACATGTTGTGAAGTTCATAAGCTGATATTCAGCCATATCAATATCATCTGTTATATGTGTTTCAGTAATCATCAGAATTTTGGGTCTCAATGTGCTTGCAATAATTTCTAATTCGCAAAAATGAGCAGTCAGTCCACCAATGTTCAAGTAAATAACATTCGCACTACTTAATTGCTATTTTCCATAGTCTATAAACTGCTTAGAAACCTTCAAATTCCTTTTGTACACTGGGCAATCTGGACTCCAAGCAACGTGATCAACATTTATATTTAATTTCCTCTCACTGTTCAAAGTAACACAATTAATACATTTCTCCTCTTCCGATAAACATTCTTTCACATCATGATCACCAGCACATCTTACACAGATTCTTTTACCTGTACAAATGATTTCATTTGATCGATGCCCATAAGCACAACATTTGTAGCAACGTAATACATTAACATTTTCCACAACGTTACATACTTCCCACTCTACATTCAGTTTACCCCGACGCATATTTTTTTGGAATGCTTCCGAGTCAATTTCACAGATCACCGATACTGCATTGAATTTTCTGCCAGGGACTCTGATCATTTTCACAATTTTAAAATGCTTTATTTCACCGATTTCATTTTGTTCCATCACGATTTCCTTTAAGTTTTCTTCTTCATATTCCTCATCCATCCCAATAATTTTGATTTTTGGTTTCTTTGGTTGTTCAATAAATATTTCATAATTTTCACCAAACTTGTCATTTGCCTGTGTGATCAATGCGTCGGCTTCATTCATCGATTTGCATTCCACTAGAATGGCACCATTCTTTGCGTTTCTCACACTTTTTATGCCAGCTGATGAATGATCAATTTTACTTCGCACTTCTTTCTTCGTGTCCTGATTCGTCTGCACAACTTTTGGTTTGATACGCACCGTATTTGCAATGTTTATTTTTTTTTGGGCTTTTTCTATTTTCAACACTAGGCGCAGATGCGTTTTCTTCACTTGATAATTCTATCGATACTTCATCTGATTTGTCATCAGCTGGGGTAATCGCAATTTCAGGTTTTTTTCAATACTCTGCCCGAACGAAGAACTGACTTAGTTGGGTCTTGTTTTTGTCCGCCAACAATTTCTGCAAAATTTGGTCCTTGTAAACTCAATCCACTATTCACAGAGCCATTGCTCTCCTTGGTTACATTAATGTTCGCAATACTTTTCTCGAGGGTTTTTACATTTTTTTTTGAATGTCACCAGTCAGGGCATCAACAATTTTTTTCTCAGTGTTTTTTAAATCTTTATTATTTTTACGCATAAACTCTTCCATCACATTTTTGCATTTTTGCTCAGTCTTTTCCACCAATTTTGCAACCATCTTCTCTTCGCTCTCAACAAACATAAACTCCATATGCTTCATAGCATCATCAA